CGCAGTTGCTCCTTCATCTTCTGCTCCTGGATTGTCCAATCTGGGGACACCGCTACAAGGGAACCCTACCATCTGGCAGAAGGAAAGATTCTGGTTGAATCCGCCAAAGACCCCCAGGGCTCTTTGCCCCAACACCTTTTGGAGATCCACGCCAAAGGCGGGCGTTTGGCAGCACTCGGCTCCTCCGGCTGGCTCCCTTTGTGGGTCTGCTCGGGGGCAGGGGAGGCTTGGATCCGGTTGGGAACTTATGTAAGTCTGTACTCCTGCTGCTCTCCCTTTACACACTACAAAAACAAACAAAAGGGGTCCCACAACATGACCCACCTTTCCTAAATTTATTTGTTGCCATTTATATATATATATATATACACCTCTGCTTCACTTCAAGAAGAGGGTCCAAGTTTTGTTCAGACCCCCATTCCCCATGCGTCTCTTTGAACCCACCGCGGTTCAGGCTGGCAACCAGGGGAGTCCAAGCATTTCGGGAAATCCCCGAAGGTAACGCGCCGGGGACGGCTCAAAGCTACAAGTGACTCTCTCTTCTTTGTTGGGAACGCCCTCCAAGATGGCAGGTGAACCCAACTCCCCATGTGGGTAAGGGTCAAATCAAACCCACCACGGGACCGCAGGATTTAGTCTTTGGTTCCATTTGTCAGGGTTCCATTTTGGGTACGCATTTTTTGACCCAACTCCCCATGTCGAGTTCCTTCCCAAGCGAACCAAAGTCTCCTTGGCCGTGGGCCCGATGCCCTTGACCTCCATGGTGGCGTAGCCCGACCACTGCATGCCCACGCAGTGGCCCACCTCCGCCGACAGCGACAGCCGCGGGAGGAACGCGCGCCTCGGATCTCGGATCTGGCTGTGGTGGTCAAAACCGTTTTGGGAGCCCATTTTGGTTAGTGGGTGAATTCACCCATTTTAGAATCTAGAACCTACTTTAGTGGTTGGATTGAATCGGATGTTCACTGGAAGTACAGGAATTTGACCTATGGCCATCTCGGAAGGAGGACGGAAGCTGACCGGGGCGCGTGGCTTCCGAAGGCAGGAGTCTTGGAACCGCGAGCAATACACGTGGCTTCCCCTTGCCAGCTGCCAGTTCAACTTTGGGTTCCGTCGCGCCTGCAGCCTCTGTCCTAAACATGGGAGCAGGAGCCCGCAACCACTATGCTGAAGCTGCGGTCCAAGGGCCCCAGTTTAACAGTTCAGTCATAGGGTCGAGTTTGGCATCAAAACGAGCTGCCATCGACCTTGCCTCATGGAACATACAGCCAGGTTCTGTCAAACTGCTCACATCTTGCACAGGTAAGCCTACGTGGATTCCCCCAAGATTACTCACAAGTAAACCAACACATACAAATTACAAAGAACTCCTTCCTTGGAGTTTCAGTCATTACTTTCGGCAGATTGCATGGATTGATTTAGCGACCTCGTTCAGCCGGATGGAGCCACTGTCAAGCTCCCTCTGCATCCCTCCGAGTGGCCTCCCCAAGCTACGGTCCCACTGTACTCTGCATGTACCACATTGAAGAAGAACGTGGGGAATATACCCTACAGGGTACTCCCCCAAGCCCACTTTGACGAGCCAATAGATTTTTACGAGGAAACGATTGTGACACAAGTGCCTGCACTGCTCGATTGAGCCTCAAACATAGAACGCATCCATATCCAACATTTCTCACTGTGCAAAGTCAAGCTGCTGGGATGAATCATTAAAACAAAGTTTAGTGTGTCATGCCTAGACTCTACCTGCTTCATGCCTGGGTTGAACAAAAGAATCAAAACCTATTGTCTACCCATTTTACCAGCCCAGATCAATCAGCTTGCCTCAGATGGGTGGTTTGTGTTGGCGATATGGGTTGGCTGGAGGGTGCCTGCAATGAACTGCAGACAGTCACTTGCGGTGCAAACCAAATAAGAAAGAGCTCGCTTCTGCCTTCTGACTAGTGTCCAGAAAGCTTCGGCCCGTTCTTCCTGGAACAACCCTGATTCAACTCAATGGGCTTGGCAAAGAGAAAAAGCGCTTCGAAAGAAATTTCTGGGCGGCAAGAACTGCACGGGCTGCGGGAAGGCGTACTGCAGAGTCAGCGCAGACCCGCACTTCCCATCCTGATCCGAAACAAACGCCAGCCCCCCGAAACCAAGGACCAGACCCACGCGCTTTCCAATGGGAGTATCATGACCTAAGAACTCCGGCAAACACTGTTAGATGAAAACGGTGAAGACCAACGCAGTTTTGAGGTACAACAAGGCTGTTGCTTCTGGGCGAACAGCTCAGACCATATGGTGTGCCAATTCCTGTGGGGTTGACTTTTGTTGGGGTTGTGGCATGCTTGGCATTTTGATCGCTCTAAGGCCTAGATTTCCTGGCCAGGATTGGCGAGTCCTCCAAGAAAGAATCATGACTACACCGCAGGTTGAGTCAATCCGGGGTGCCAAACATTCAAATACTTGTTTCACTGTTGGGAAGAACACACCCAGTGCGAACCCGCAAGGTTGACTAACCCGCGTAGAGATTGACCAGCTCGCCCCAAGTCCTGCGAAAACTTGGGATTCTCTGGAAGGCATATGTGAAGGAACCTCTTGGTATCAGCATGTCTCGACTATCCAATAGCATGCATTAAAACATGGGATGCACTCGACCTGCCGCAGCCAACCTGTGCGAAATCGGTGTGCAAAGTCAAACTGCCAGAATTCACAAACGAGACATTCTCAAATTCACCTAAACCAGAACGTGACTCTAAGATGGTTTCCACTGCTCCCAAACCAGAAGTTTAGTGGCAGTATAGTGTTAGCCACAATACAAAGGGTCAAAACGCGTGTTTGCTTGGCGGTTTTGGGGGTGGAAACCCTCTCAGCAGGGGTCCATCGGCCAACTCGCCCAATCTAAAACGCCGAGGTTCGGGTGGCGGCAAGGTGGAGGTCTCGTGCAGGTAGCCCGGGGGCCAAATCACCTGAGACGCCAAGCCTTGGAGAAATTTCCTTTTTATGGGCGGAAGCCGAAAACAGCCGGAGGGGCACTGAAGCAACGTCGAGATTCAAATGAAGCAAACAAACAAACGTGCAGGTGTCCCCGATGCAAAAAAAAGAAGAGGGTGTCACTCGGCTCGCAGCCTTCTTTTAGGCCCAGACATGCCGATCCCGATCGATTTCCTTCCAGGGCACAGCTCCCCTGGCACTGTTCAGGAACGCGAGGTCCGGGTCCCACTTGCCAGCCTTCGGGATCCCAGTTTCAGAAAGCTGGCTCATGGCCAATTTGTTGCTAAGACTTCAAGCGGGGGTACGCTGACTTGCCTGTGGCATTTCGTGATGTTTGCGGTATCGCCCTCTGGGCGTTCGCTCTGCAAAAATTGGATGTGGACAAATGTTGACGCCTTCCTGGAAGAGAAGGAGACTGAACTACACACTTTCGGATGGGGCCTTCCATTTGAAGGGGGTCATCTCAGAGGTTTCACAATTGTCTCTGCAGCCTCTGCTACTTTTGGAGGGGTTGCCCACTTGCCCATCATGGGCCTGAAAGTCACGTTGAAGACTCTCATGAAAGGATCAGGCTTGCTGCTTTTGCACACTGCATCACAAGAAAGCAACGGGGACCTGTTTTCCTGCTGTTGAGTGGAAAGCTCGGCTGTCACATTGACATGTCAGCCAACTTCCAGGCTGGGATGGCCTTAAATGGAGTCATCCAGAGAAGCACAGCATTCGGTTCTGCTGGCTGAAAAGCTTCAAGGGCAAACAAACAGCTGCGCAGCTTTGTCAACTTTTGCTAAAGCCACCCGCATGGAATCATAGAAGCACTCAGTTGGGCCGCAGCCATTGCCACACTGATACATATTTTGTCCGGGGCATTAATTGCAAGCACAACCAATGAAAAGCCCATGTCCTCCAAAGCATGGGCCAGGGTAACTTGCCATGACGAGGGAGATTTGAAGCTGCCTACTATTGGCATCGCAGAAGACAAAAAGGACTTCCCATAACCAAAGTGCCTGTGTCTGATTGTTCAAAAGCCGATTTGACAAGCGCCCGGCGTCGTAGACGCCGCCATCGAACTCGTCGAAGGAGTCCAAAAAGGACATCTTCGGCAGCATCATCTTCCTAAGCTCTCAATGTGTCAAGAGTCGGAGGGCATGCCAAAATCAAAGCAGTCGTTGGCAAGGCAGCAGTGCAGCTCGCCGGATGTGTGTGTGTGTGTGGGTATATTTTTCGGGGAATACCCGTTCGGTCGGATAGGGAAATCAAAAGAAAGCCACAATTTGTGCAGTTCTCGGTTCTTGACACACATCCAAATTGTGAGTGTCACCAACAGATTAAATGAACCGATTGAGAGGCCGCCTGGCATCGCAATTGGATCGCTGTGGCACCCAGGTACTTGAACTTTCAAATGGGTCAATTGCTGGCCTTTGCCGAACATATTCACAGGCGTTAACAGGTGCTAATGGAGAAAATATGACATGGCCTTGGGTATGTGTACAAGTACATGCGCATATATACATGTATATATACATATACATGTGTATATATATATATGTATGTATTTGTTGATCTATTTGTCTATACGCAATATTTGCAGGTGTATGTGCAAGATCACAACATGTATACACACGTACATATATATATATATATGCCTACACTTCAAGACATCCTTGATGGTGCAACAAATCCAACACGCTGATGGAGGAGTCCATCAGCACGGAGGCTTGGTCCGTGCACACTGCTGCTGAGAGGGCCCAAATCCAAATCACGAAATGCCTCAGTGTGGAACACACCAAGAGAGTCAAAGAGCAAGCTGGACTTGACTTGGTGATGTATATAAGTCTTAGCCCTTTTGGGTCGAACAAGGGGACCCATGAGGCAAGACGGGATCTCAAGAGATCAGCCCATCCAGGGCCCATCCAGAATGGCAGCCGAGGCACCGCCAGCGCTTGTCACCGCGCAGCTGCAGGGAAACCACCGACTCACAGTAGCCATCGTTGTGGGCACCTCAGAGCTTGGAATGTGATCTGGGCTGTCCTCAGATCCCCGCTAAAAGTTTAACTTTTAATGGGTTAAATGGAAATCCCCACTAAACAATAAAAAGCTAAAAGGCTAAGGGGATGGCTGGGAGCCACCAAGTGATTGCAGCCTACAATATTCGGGCAATCACAATTCATGGCAAGAGGGCAAGGGTGGGGGAAAAGAAGGACCCCCAGTCACTTTGGCAAGGCACAGAGTTCGGACGAAACAAATCGGTGAGTTCTCAAGATAGGCCAGTGCGAGGCCGCCCAAATGACTCACGAGGAGAGACAATAGCACGACGCATGTTGAAAGAAGCGGTGAAAAGTGCAAGAAGTACTGTGAACACCAAGGCGACACCAGCTCCTTCTGAAGACCCCGAATTACGTGGCAGAACAGTGAATCAGCGCACCCTGACGTTTGGAAGGTTGTCAGCATGACAACAACACGTGCACGTTGTGTTCCCGGCACAAATCCATCTTGGAAACGCGACGTAATCTTCCATTTCTCCCTCTGCCACTGCCCGCCATCTTTGCCCCGTGAGTCATCCAAACACCGCTGGCTTGTGGCTCCACCCGTTCTCCAATCGACTGACCCCCCCTCCCCGGTGCCCTTTCCGGCGGCGCCTGCGCCTGAGTAGGCGCCAGGGGAAAACCACACCTTCCGGGCCAAATTGCCGGGTGCCGACTTGGCAAACGAATGGAAGCTGGGAGCTCGTGCTGTGTGTCAGTTGGTGCTCAGTGGAAAGCCTGGTACAAGCGGGGATGTTGATCACCTCACAAGAAGAAAAGCGAATCTTTTCCCCTACGGCGCCAAAACTCAGGTAGTAGTCAGCTCTCAGGCCCACATAACCATGAAACCAATACCAATGCCATCAACGGCCAAGTGCAAGCACTCAATCCCAAATTACCCTGCCTGCAAAAATGATGCAAGAATGAATTTGTCTTCGTTACTCTCTCCACTCCTGCTCTCCTCCCCCCCTTCCCTGCCTCGAAGCTGCGGTTCATCTTTGCCCTGTTCAGGGGATCCTGCAGGAAGCTTGGCGACTCGAAGCGCTGCTGTACTATCTTCTTCTCCTGCGAGCAGCGGCGAATCGAACCGCAATTGACCCAACCAACGCAAGGGTCGCGGAGGACAGCCAGGCGCGGGAAAGGATTGGAAATCGCGCAAGAAGGCCTGAGGGCTCAATGACAACACAATCCCCTTATCCTCTTGCCAGCTGTTTTTGAGTACATTGAATACATATGCCTGTAGACGGAGCTCGTCGGAAATAACGCCCGACACTTCGAGATGTGCAAGCAACTCCGGCAATGACTTGAATGACAGAAAGCCGCAAGTCTCATCATAAGGCCCACCATTTGTGTTGCTTTCCGAACACTCTTTGTCCGCTCTCCTTTGTGGTCGTTGTTTGTAGCAAAGCCTTGTGGGTCAAGCTACAGAAATGTCTCAGATTGTGCCTTCACTTTCTCGGCTGTGCCTAGTTTCTCAGAACTGCTGGCGAGGAAGGCAAGTGCTACTCTCCCCGGATTGAATCAGGAGAGTGGATGTTCATACCCCTTCAAAATCCATCAAAAAGGGGTATGAAGTAGGGGTATGTACATCCACCCTTAGACCCTGCAAGCCCCCTCCACACAAATGAGACACTTGCGAGCCCCAGGCACAGGCCCGTGGCTTGGTCTTGAATAGGGCTGCAACCCTCGAGGTCCGCTCTGTCGCAACCGGCACCTGTGGATTGCCCAGGCAACAGCATTACTGCAAGACATACTGTGGATGGACAAAATCCATTTCGCACCACCCAAAACACCATGGGAAACCATTGTTTGTTGGTGTTTACAGGGGGTCATATCATTCTAATGCGAAATGGATTTCATCCATCCACAGTATTATGGAAAGCCTTCAGACAGAATCCGCCACCGCTAACTTGAAGCGCCTCTGCAAGCGGCGGATAGCAATGGGAATGCTGGGCGACGGTCAGCGGTTTGGGCGCGTGCACATCAAGACGCAGGGCTCACAGCACGCGCAATCTCAGAAAACAGCCAACAGATGCAGCTTCTCACTCCCCGACCGCCCCATCATGAGCACATAAAGTCATTCTTTGGGATGCCATCGCCAACTCTTTTTCAAGCAGGCTAATAAAAATGGGCAGCCCTTCAAATGATAGAGTCGATAGTTTGGTACGATAAAAAGATGAGCAGTCATCGCAAATGTCAGGGCTTCTACAGTCGATTCCTCTGCCAAAGTCTTCTGGGGTAAATCTGGTTCATTTTTTTCGTGATGGCGAGTGCACACTTTCCCAGCACAGAGCCCCTCACATCACTTGCCACTTGACCCCCCAGCTCCAAATATGCAGACGCCTTTTGGGTCAAAAGCCCATACCCCCGGTGAACATCCGATTCAATCCAACCACTAAAATAGGTTCCAAAATAAGTGGTGAAGGCACCTACCCCAAACATGGGGATCCCAAAACGGTTTGGACCACAGCCAGATGCCTCAGATGCCGAGGCCTTTTGGGTCTTTCAGGGCATCTCTTTCGTTGAGCACGGCCGCAAGGACTTTGGTCCTTGGGGCTGAGCTCATCCTTCACGTGCCACACGTAGGGCCCCTGCTTGGGCTTCAGCGGGTCGTCCTTGTACCGCTTTGAGGCGGGCCGCGAGAAGTTGTACCACCAGGTCTTCCTTGGGATTTCTTTTTGGGCCGGGTGAGCTCTTCTCCCCACCGCGAATCGAATCACCCGGCTTTTTGGCTGAACCAATCTCCCGTCCCAGGGCGGTCAGGTTGCAAGGCACATGTTTCGGGTGCATGGGTGAGATCGTGGTCGTTCTGCTCTTTTCAGGGGGCCTGAAGGCAGTCTAGAATCCACGCGGGGATGTTTGGAGCAACCTCATGACATGCTCGCCTGTCGAAGCTGAAACTGAATAAGTTTGGTTTCTTGGCCCTGATCTGTGAGTAAAGCTTGGGGGGGCTAAAGAGTGACTTTGCAGTGGATAGCTTTGGGGTGGATCAATGTGTTTGGGACGGGGGTAGGACCGGTCTAAGGTTGGTTTTGGGTAGGTTCAGAGTATGGTTGGCGTTGGGGTGTGAACCCTAGGTGGGTTTTGGGATTTAGGGTCGGCAGGTGTAGGGCAGGCAGGCGCGGGGTCGGCATAGGGTGGGCAAAGGGGAGTTTACTAGGTCCTCCACTAGAGAGGTTAGAATAGAGGTGCCCTTTTTTCTGTAGTCTGTTTTAGCGCTGGGGGACCAAGTTGAGGTTCCCTGTGCCGCCTCCGTTCACTCCCCTGTCATGCCCGGCCACCCGTCAGGCTTGAAGGAGCCGAGCTTGAAGCGCATCTCCCCATCGATCACCTCCGGATCCGGTCAGTTTGAGCAGGTTCATCGGTTCAAGGGGCTGAGTGAAGCCCTTCTCTGAGTAGCGATCGAGGTCAACCGATTGGACGGGGTCAAGTGACACGAAATCTCAGCTCGGTCAAGCTTTCACTTAGGGAATTCCAAGTGAGGCCCTCAACGTTTGCTTGGACATGTAGTATGTGGCATCTATAGATATTCGACACAAGTATCCTGATAGCTTCCACCAAAGATGCTTAAACCATGACTGATCTATGATGCAAAGAGTTGAAGCCAGGGAAGGGATTTCTCCAGCATCGTCTTTGCTTGGCTTCCCAATTGGCCATGGTTGCTTGGCCACATGCTTGCCCTTACCTGCAAGCTCGCGGCAGCCAAATGGGTGCAGCTGCACATCCAAATGCACGGTGCCCTATACTCCAGACTCGGAAAACACCTCATGTTGTCCCAAGTGGTGATGTTCAAAAACAACATCAAAAGCTTCTGCACTGTTCATCTCCGGAGAACCTCCCCTTCGCTCCCAGCAAGTCTGCGCGGCTGAAGCAGCCTCGCCTTGGTGTCGTGCTGGCTGCGCTTGAAGCCCGGCAAGTCATCGATGTATTCCGCCTCGCATCGAACCATTGGCCAGAGCCGAAGAATCCTGCGGCCCATGAGCTGGTTTACGCAGCCGCTCGAACAAATATCACTCGGACGACTTCAAACCCTCACCAAAAAGGTGCATCGCCATGCCAAACCATTTGTGACATGACACCTGAAGGTTACCCAACTCTTGTTGATGGCCCACAATTCAACAAGAAGCACCAAGAAGCAGAAGAGTCAAAGACTGTGGCCGCTCCTAGATTTGAAAACCTTCGCAGGGAGCACAGCAGCCCTGGCCGGCCTTCATGTAGCCAAAGGGGAAGGCATCTGCAAAGTCCTCAGGGCAGCATCAGTCAACTGGGCTGTCATGGCGACAAATGGACCCATGATACGTGACTCTAAAACAAAGCATCACCACCATGGTTTTCACATTGCAGCCTGTCAGTGAAAACATATGAGAAATTCTTAAAATGGTCAATTTCGAAGTCGGTTTGAAGCCATGGCACTCTCCATTTGATGAGCCCACCACGCAGTTTGGGTGTGATTTTGCCGATGATGGTTCCAACTTCAGATTCATGCGATGTTCGTTGCATAGAGAGTCTGGACCACAAGTGTTTTTTTTTCTTTCAGATCGTTTGCGGGTCTGCGCGCAAGGCGAACTTTCACGTGTCAGACAACCTTGCTGCCAACCTCCTTTCTGACCATTGCCAACCATTCAAGAAATATCTAGACAAACTGGAAACCTGTGGCACTAGCGGCACTTCTCTACAAAACCATGCTTGGCCTTACTTCACCAATCAGTTCGGGTTTTGTTGTGAAACGGGCAAACAGGATTGGACAAAAATAAAAATGGAAGATGCTGCTAAGCTATAGAAGACGCACGCACATGGTAGAACCGGCAGGACTTTAGTGCCAAAAAATGCTTTGGGCTTGCATAAAGCTTTCTGCCGCAGTCCTGGCAGCTCCAGCCCGTGTACTTCATGCCCTCCGCCCAGTCTGCGATCACGATGGGATACCCCCGCCGCGCATGGAAGAGGAACTCCTTTCACGCGACGGCAGCCGACTCTCTGACTGGACAAATTAGAAACAGTAAGTGGCAAGACTAGCTGGAGCAAGCGTTGGCCCCGTAGCTGTTGGTCATTAAGAAGAAGACACATTGAAGAAGTGGTTTTAGCAAGATGCCGCTGAGCATCCAGGCTCATGCTCCATGATTTGCCACTCTCATTGAGCCGCCACCAAATTGGTCAGCCTCTCTTGGACCTACTTGACTGTTTTGATCAGAGGAGTCGTCTTGACATGCCTGTCAAGGAAGCACTTCCCATACAAGGATCCATTCCTCAAATTGGTTCTTGCAAAGTTGACAAATGGGAACTATCTCCGTGTCTACCGTAGATCCTCCCTGGAAAACATCCTAAGTCGAAACATGGACGATCGACAGGCTTGCCGTTGGGGTGCTGGGCAAGTGCTAGAGAGCGGCTTGGAGCCTTTTGCAAAGCTGGGACGAATTCTCGACAAGGCGAGTGTCCCTATCCCAAAGCTACGAACCATCCCCTCATTCAGCCTGGATCAGCCTCCAAGTCCCATGAGGCGCTGTCCTCCCGGGTGGGGCTGGTCAACACCACCGGGGACGCCAGGCCCAACTCCCCCGCGCTGCGGTCAGGGAAGTACTCCTCGCGCAGCTTCGGCGTCGGCGGCGTGGGTTTGGGCAGCTTGCCGGAACACATTTTGGGGCAACGACTGCAACACAAAAAAGCGACCCGCCTTTCTGGTTTCCAGCTCTCACCCCAGGCCCGGGTGTGGCCCCACACCAGGAACCTCCCTTCAGAGCCTCCTGAACCTCGGCTCTCCGAGCCTCCAGCGTGGGCTCCCACAAAGGCAGCCGCGTCACTCCGCCCAGGTCCAGGTCGAAGAGCGCCGCTTGGCAAAGCGAAAGCGGCAGCAGCAGCAGAAGGCCCCTGAGTGCTGGGAACCGACGAATTTGATGCCTCCACGAGCACTTCTTCCATTCACGTTGGCTCATACCTCTTGACATTAGTGTTCCCCCTCCCTTCGGCGGGTGCTGGATGGCCTCGTCATACCTCAAGCACAAGTCTGTGTGGGCACGTAAAACTGAAGGACCCTCCCTCCTGTTGGCAGCTGTCCAAACCAGCAAGAAGAAACAAACAAGGGTGTTTTTGGGTTGGAGTGGCAGCGAAAAACTCATTTTACCGGTGACATCAAGCTTCCAACAACTCTGGTAACTGATGTGCGCGTCTCGACATGTGGGCTGAATTACCTGGTGCGCTGATCATGCATCCCCGGAATTTACGCCTCTCAACTCGTGCTGCTTGATGCTGTGATACCTGCCGAGGCCAAATCAAACTGGAAGCTTCTACTGGATTGCAAGTCAGTTCACGACCTTTGGGACCCGGAGCTCCGGCTCAACAGGAAACGCCCTTAGCTGTGCGCTGTTTCCAGCCAATGAGCTTCTGGAGCATGTCTCAGTGGTTTTTTTGTTTTGAACGACTTTCATGTACCTGCGACGACTCCGGTCTGAGCCTCTGAGCCCGATGCCCTGCCATGCCACAGAAGGCCATGTGCGGCTCCAGGCAGAATCTTAGGTATGCTTTTCGCTGATGTTCTTGAAACATAGCTTCCCTTTCCGCGTCGGTTGAGTTCAAAGCTCGGGCACTTGCCTCTTGATGAGAGTTCCCATTCTTTGAGCGGGCGTGGGCGAAGATTGTCTATGAATCGTTGCATGAACAAAAACTCGGGAGGTGATGAGGAGGTCCTGAAGCTGTCAAATGGTCATATTGTGTGCGATCTCCGCAGCATGTCTTGGCTTTTTGGCAATGCCTGAAACGATTGTGCGGCAATGGTCTGCGTCTGGGCGGTCACCTTCAACAAGTCCCTTGGCTCGTCCTCTCAGCCACTACCCTCCCTCAGGCTATCGTGGAAGCTCTCCGTGCTGTGCCTGAAACGAAGTCTGCCAAAATGTGTCTGAGCTTCCACGAAAAGCTTGAAGGAGTACCAGCCGATGTGAGGATTGTAAACCAACCACAACCATTGTAAACCAACCACAACCAAAAAGGGGGTGGGGCGACCACTTGGTGATCGAAGGGCATTTTTCTTGCACCTTTGGTAAACAGAGACAATAAGCACTATGAAATTTCGCACATTGCCTGCAGGCGCCATGGCCACGCTCAATCTGATCTGGGGACAGTTGGCCACGTCTTGGGATGCCTACTAAGTATGGTGGTGTTGTGTCACATGTCCATGGCGCATCTCTCAACGATGCGATTAGCTGCTAAGTAGCATGTTGGGGCCTCGTCCAGCGGTCAAAGCCAAACTCATTCCAGAACCTGCCTCTGGACGACACACAAACGAGGGGGGCACTTTCTCCGAAAACTGCACCTCGACAATGCGAGCTCGAGGCCTGTGACGAAACTGGGGGAGGGACACCTGTTGAAAAAGAAAACACAAAGACACAAAGTGGACCAAGATGACGAACAGGGGCTGCCGCAGCAAAAGTGACAAACACCAAAAGTGCCGCCCAACTCAACACCACCTTTTGCCTCCTTTGCACGGATTTGTATCTTATATATGTAAAAAAAATCAAACAAGTTGCCAAGAATTGGGAGGGTCCACATGCACGTTGACACCTCCCCGTCCTTTTCTAAAGGAGCGCAACCGAAACTACCAGAAGTGACCCATTATTTTACTGCAGTCCACGTTCACGCACACCGATTCATGAACATGTGTAACTGATTGTAGACGCCGTGGCAACATCGGGGTGATGTAATTAGTTCCTAAAGTCATTTAAGTCCTCTTGTTCTCACCCACCCACCCCCGTCCAAGACTTGGAGTGCTCCGAAATTTGGATGTATCTTTGAGAACCGAAAGTCGAGACCTGCTAGGCACCCATCGACTCCTCGAGTATGCGTTGCCATTTCCACGCGCCTTGGACCGGCTCCGCGCAACGCAGCTGCGCTGGGAGCTTCATGCCGAGGCCCGGTGACTGAGCGATCCAGCCGGGTTGGGGGTGGGGAGAGAGAAATGGACAACTTCCTTGGTTGAGCTTGAAGGGAAACCCATATCGAAAAAAAGAAGGAAACAAGGGTATCACTGGAGTTTCGGGAAAAGCTGGCGTTCATTTGCCAAACGCGGCCTCGAGCGCCATCCTCCTTTGGTGGCGTTTAGCGACAAATGAGGAGAAATCAGACATATCAATGCATTGAAGTTGATGATTGCTGGATTGGTCTTGCTATGTTGCATAGAATGGACAAGTGTGTGTGTGTGTGTGGGTGTGTTGCCGGTGGCTCACTATGCACCTTCCTGCTGAGCTAAACGCCGGTATCCATCTTGCTGCGAGCCCTCCCAATAAAATAGACATCTTGATGCAGGGGTGTGAAGCATTCAACCACTGCCACAGCTGAAGCGGCTGCATTGATAGACCGATAGTGCCAACTCATTGAAACACCGCCAACACTCCCAGGCTGCCTCGCAAATGTAGAACTTCACCTGGCATCTGTCGCACATCCGTGAGAATAGCATACAGTGGCTTAAATCGGTAGTTGGGCCCATCGAAAAACAATCTCGATTTGTCGAAGAAAAAGAATGGCAAAGACTAGACATGCGCACCTTGCAAGAACGAGCTGTTTAATCTGATCATCTTAACAGCCACCGGCCTCACCACATCCCTATTCAGTCATCCAGTCACTGAACGACTAACCTATTCAGCCATCCAAGCATCTAAGCCATATAGTCCGTTGCAATGTTTGTTTTTTTCTCACTGCTGGCACTGTCGGCGCTGTGGAGGATCGGTGTTGGATCATTCTCTCAACATCCTCCGGAAGCAAGTGCAAATGAGATGGCAAAAGGGCTCTTGGATGGCCGGTTGCTATACTGCAGTCATGAACCCAATAGAAGATTTAATCTGGCAAAGTTTCATGACTTCACCATGGTCGCTTTGGCCCTAGGCGGCATTCCCAGTCAATCCATATCTTGGAGAAGTTGAAAGGCAATGGGAAAATCCAGGGACTAGAGAGCACGAAAAGAAACGTCAAAACTCGCAATCCTGACGGCCCCAGCCACACTCATTTGTGAACATCACCATAAAGGAGAACTTCCATCTCTAGAATCGAGCCTTTGGGGATTCCTCGAACTTTGGGCGCAGCAAGCGCAACAGTAGAAGATTGGGTTGCTCGCGAAGGGAGGCGGTAACGGGAGGGACTTGGTGAAGGCTCGTCGTACCAGACTGGCTCCTTGATGTGGTCCATACCCCTTCCCCGTCAAAGTCCCTCTTGATAAGAGCCCGTGTTTGTCCATTTGTGGTTGAAGCTGGTCATTGACTGGGAATTCAAACCTGTGACTGTAGTTGTGGTTCATGAATCCCCAGCCCCACATCCCAAAATCCAAATCACATCGATGTTGACCCACATCCCAGGCCCCACCCCCACCAGGCCCCCACATTGACCAAGTCCCAATGTACCAGCGGCGATTTGGCGCCTGCAGGCTGTCGCCGAACTTCTCAGCCGAGTCCACCACCGCGTGCGCCACCCAGGTTTCAGCCACACCTCCTGTACAGTCCCCCAGTGGCCCAGCCGTGCACCTGTTAAAGCTGAAGACATGGCCATGAGTTTCACTAGGGAACCACCCACCAAAACGAGGTCCACGAAACCCCCCCATCAAAACTACCCATATTTCTGGGGGTACCTTCCCCATTCTTTCCAGGGATCCTTTTTTCAGGAAACCGTCAAAAACCCAGGGGAAACGGCCGGTTTCTGAAAAGAACGATGGTTGAAAAGAATGGACAAGGAATCAACCCCCTAGAATATGTCCAACCGAACGTTGCAGAACCCTGGTAACCCTTCCGCCCGCACCTCGGTCCCCGTAGAGCTGCCGAAGCTCCTTGAGCTCCTCGTCCGAGCAGAAGCAGCCCTGGCCCGGTGCGGAATGGCATATGGCCATGGGTCAAAAGCCCGTACCCAGTGAACATCCCAATCCCCACTAAAATAGACTAAAATGGGTGATGCACCTACCCCAAAATGGTACCATTGGTTTTGACCCACAGCCATATGTGAGCAGGCGATTGGGAGGACTTGGGGCTCAAACTCTCAACAACCAGGCAGCCCCGGCCCCCATGGCCCTTCAAGAGCAAATAAATCTTCCGGGTACCCTTTTCGACGGGTGATATGTTGGTGGGAGGAAGGCTTGTGCTTCCAAGTTTGAAGCAAAGCGCTGTTTGACCTGCGGGCGTTGCATCTGCTTCTCGAGGAAAAAAATGCTGGCCGTGTTTGTTAGTTAGGTGTTTGGTCAAAAAGCCACCAGCCATTTAAGAGTTCTTTTTGATAGACAGCTCACACAACTGAGCCATGGCCTTTTGAATCCCAGGCACAGCTGGACCAAGCCATGCATGTGGTTCACTCCTTCGGGGAGTCATGGCTCCAGCGGGCTCTAGAAGCATTGCACTGTTGGTGTCCTCGCGAGCTTGGTAGGTTGGCTTATTTTGGTTGGTTTGTTTTGGGGCAAAGGCTGGGGGCAGGGCGGGCAGGTGCCCGACAGGACCACCATCACCACCGCCACCATCCCAGCACCATCACCATAGTCATCGCCATCCTCGTCCGACATCATCACTAGCATGATTCTTAGCATCACCATTATTCTCATCACTATCGTTATCCAACGATGTTGCAACTTTTGCGGGCGCCCTGACACGCACTCACCATGGCGGGCTCTCAGCAAGCGGTTTTCCATTGGGCTCCAAGCGGGCTCCCAACGCTTTGGCTTCACATCTTCCAGGAAGTCGAAATAAACACCAATCCACCGAAAACAAGGCTGCCTAGGTCACCTACGACTGGTAAAACAAAACAACCCCCTTCTAACTTACCAAGAAGGAGGGTCACGAATGGTAGAGTCAAACCTGACAGACAACAAATAAAAGGATCCTGGTAACACAAATCAGAGAATAAAGCTGACAACAAGAAGGGTTGTCATGAATCAAGGCAAGAGTAAACATGGGGAAGGCATAATAAAGCAAGTTGACGTCCAACCTGCAAAAAAGGGGGCCATGGTATCGCAGGTCCTTGTTTGATTACATTCCAGAAGGACAGAGTTCGAGAGTCACGCCGTATTGCACCCTTGAGCCGCTCCATGTTAAATGGGGCCCCTTTTACGCGCTTCTTCGGCTTTTACGCGCTTCTTAGAGAAAACGTGAAACACAGTGTAGTCTGCAGGGGATGCCTTTTGTCGCATGTTTAAGGGTTTCCCAGCAAATACAGATTTGCCAAACATCGGGCCACCTGCCAGGATGTTGTCATTTTGCGCCGTGTTGACTCTACGAGAAACCCCGAAGTAGCGATATGTGGTTGGGAGTCACAGCCGCAACAGAAGAAAACGCAAGTACTTTGTCCCGGGCCAAAAGACCAGTGGCAACAAATGGGACACGGCACGGATGTTTAATCTCATAAAACTGCTCTCGATCCTATCACCCCGCAAACTCACACACACACGCACCTCCAGTTCGTGTCTGGTTTGCTCCGGCACAAGGTGTGTGTGTGTGTGTGTGTGTTGTGTTGTGTGTGTTGTGTTGTGTTGTGTGTGTTGTGTGTGTTGTGTGTGTGTGTGTTGTGTGTGTTGTGTGTGTTGTGTGTGTTGTGTGTGTTGTGTGTGTTGTGTGTGTTGTGTGTGTGTTGTGTGTGTTGTGTGTGTTGTGTGTGTTGTGTGTGTGTGTTGTATGTGTGTTGTATGTGTGTTGTATGTGTGTTGTATGTGTGTTGTCTGTGTGTTGTGTGTGTGTTGTGTGTGTGTTGTGTGTGTGTTGTGTGTGTGTGTGTTGTGTTGTGTGTGTGTTGTGTGTGTGTTGTGTGTGTGTTGTGTGTGTGTGTTGTGTGTGTTGTGTGTGTGTGTGTTGTGTGTGTGTGTTGTGTGTGTTGTGTGTGTTGTGTGTGTTGTGTGTGTTGTGTGTGTTGTGTGTGTTGTGTGTGTTGTGTGTGTTGTGTGTGTTGTGTGCGTTGTGTGGGTTGTGTGTGTTGTGTGTGTTGTGTGTGTTGTGTGTGTTGTGTGTGTTGTGTGTGTTGTGTGTGTTGTGTGTGTTGTGTGTGTTGTGTGTGTTGTGTGTGTTGTGTGTGTTGTGTGTGTGTGTGTGTGTTGTGTGTGTGTGTGTGTGTGTGTGTTGTGTGTGCTTGTGTGCTGTGTGTGTTGTGTGTGTGTTGTGTGTGTGTGTGTTGGTGTGTTGTGTTGTGTGTGTGTTGTGTGTGTGTTGTGTGTGTGTGTGTTGTGTGTGTGTTGTGTGTGTGTTGTGTTGTGTGTGTGTTGTGTGTGTGTTGTGTGTGTGTTGTGTGTGTGTGTGTTGTGTGTGTGTTGTGTGTGTGTTGTGTGTGTGTTGTGTGTGTGTTGTGTGTGTGTGGTGTGTGTTGTGTGTGTTGTGTGTGTTGTGTGTGTTGTGTGTGTTGTGTGTGTTGTGTGTGTTGTGTGTGTTGTGTGTGTTGTGTGTGGTGTGTGTGGTGTGTGTGGTGTGTGTGGTGTGTGTGGTGTGTGTGGTGTGTGTGGTGTGTGTGGTGTGTGTGGTGTGTGTGTTGTGTGTGTTGTGTGTGTTGTGTGTGTTGTGTGTGTTGTG